TTGTTCACCTGCAGGAACTGGCTACGGAAAAGTGAAGACAAGTGAAATCCATCAGTTCCCATCAGCGGAATTGTTTCGCTGGCTGCAAACTGCTGAGAGAGGATGGGAGGGGAATGAATACAAGTGTTCAAATAACCACCATGGTGGAAAGCAGGAACAGCTTCCTCCTTCTCCAGCCTCTTCTGGGAAAGGCTGTATCCGAGCACGATGCTGCATGGTGAAGGGTCTGAAGTCATGAGGAAGGGCTGAGGGACCTGGGGGTTTAGTGTGGAGAAGAGAAGGCTCAGGGGGGACCTGATCGCTCTCTGCAACTGCCTGACAGGAGGATGGAGCCAGGAGGGGGCTGGTCTCTGCTCCCAAGGAACAAGGGATGGCACAAGAGGAACCGGCCTCAAGCTGCCCCTGGCACAGCCCTGCCCAAAAGGTTCATGGTGGGGTGCAAACCAGAGCAAGTGATATACTGCAGCACCCAAAATCAGCACTGACTCTGGGCACACCTCCAGGCAGTGGTTCCAAGTTCCATGGGATCTGGAATAGCTCCCTGCAACGATAACCAGGATGTTTCAGGAGTTGATTAAAAGGGGACCTGGTGAATCTCCTTGTGACATCCTCAGATGTGGCCGGATGCTTTGCAGTCAAACTTCAGCTGCTGGACACCACCCTGGGGCAGATTTTGTGGTATCTCCTGCATTTCATGACTGCATGAAGAGCATGCCCACCAGCTAGATGAGAACTGATGCTGCCAGCCTAAAAGCTTGCCCAGATTTATGTCTTTCTCTGCTGGATCTGATGACAAAGAGGGATCAGCTTGTTTTCTCGGACCATCAGCTGACATCTCACCACGTGCTGTCATTGCATGTTCTCCCCAATGCCTTGTACAGATGTAACCACCAATTGTTGCAGGAAATATTGTTATGGTGATGTAGGAACAGAGTGGTAACGCTCAGTGCAAGACCTTATAGGGGAGGAAGCAACCTGGAACAACCTGGTCTAATGGAAGGTGCCCCTGCCCGTGGCAGGGGTTGGAACTAGATGAGTTTCAAGGTCCCTTCAGCCCAAACCAGTCTGTAACTCTATGGTTCTATGATTCTATGAATAACTGATAAGCTTTAGGGGGAAAAAAGTGGGTTATCTATGATTAGAAATGAGGAGGAGTAATTTGGAGAGAGCTTACGGCTCTTCTGCTGGGGCATCAAGTCCTGTAGGGTCTACATGTGGTGGGACTTCAACAAGGGGCTCATCAGGGAGCCACAACCAGCTGCTTCTAGCAGGGAAAGCAGGACAGCTACGCATAGTCCTGGCCTCCTGTACATGCCACTGCATTGCCCCTTGATGGTCCCTTCAGGTCCTCCCTGTCAGGCTTTCTTAGCCCTGCTCCGTGTGCATCCTGGTCCACTCCTGAAGTCTCATGGGCACATCCCACCGTGCTGACTTGCAGAGCTCAGTGACTTGTGGAAGCCAAGAGCTGGGTGACTCAGGGCTTTATGGGTTCCTGCTCGTGCTCGGAGATGGACATTGATCAGCCGAGTCCGAAGGCCAGTGATAAAGGGATTACAGAGAGCAATCTATTGAGGGATTAAAGGACCTTAATGTTCCCAGGCTAAATGCAAGCAAAGGAGATTGGATAAATGACTATAAATACCAGCGAAGGGAAAAGCCAAGGAGGACGGAGCTGGAGCTGTATCAGGGGCCACATGTGTTTGAGTGGCTGCTAGGAAATAAGGAGAAATGGTGAGAAAATCAAAAATAATGAGGTTTAAAAGCCATGGAGGTGAGAATTATCAATGGGGGTAAATAAACAGCAGCAATACCTCCCATGAGGTGCTACCATGGGATTGTAGGGATTGGTAGTGATCAGTGCTAGATGGTCCCAGGGGTCCCTGCCATTCCTGCAGTCACAGCTCAGTGATGATCTACTGGACACAGTTAAGCTTGGGCTGCACAGGGTGCTGGGCACCTAGTGTAGGTCATGCTTTGCCTGGAAAGGTTGGAGCAGATGATCCTCGAGGTCCCCTCAAGCTGGGATTCCAGGGTTCTATGGTCTGTTTCTGACGCTGCCCTGGGGACCATCCTCCCTAGCCCTATCCACAGCTGAAACCCAAGTGAGCAAAGAGAAGCAGAGAAGGAAAATGTAAGTGACCAGGAGAAGGTGGATGGGCCTTTTGGTGGGTAGGTCCTGCCGTGGAGAGGTTCCTCTAAGTGAGGTTTTCTCCACTGTTATCATTGCTCTCAAATAGCAAATCATCACCCATGTCCAGACAGGGACTTGCTGACAGGTCCACAGAAAGCCTGGGAATAAATCTGTATCTTCTCACTTCCCAGAAGAAACCCTTCTCATCCCATATAATCACTTCCCTCAGATCAGGGAAAATGGGGATTGGGATATTACAAGGACAGAGGTGATGTAAGGTTATTCCGTCGCATGGCTGCTTTCTACGAGTACACTGCAAGGTGTGGTGGTGCCCACACACACAGCAGGATGACTCTTCACCTCCCCATTTCCAGCCTAGACCCATGTGAAGTCACTGTAAAGCTAAACTCCTTCTTCCTATTTTGCCTTGATGGGGTTTATACCAGCCTAGTTCCACCACAAGGTTGTTTTGGAGGTTTGGTTCTATTGCCTTCCCCTAAGATGATCCCTTGACTACTGAGTTGAGAAGGGTGCTCCAACGGTAGCAACACCCTTTAGTAAAGATGGGGTTGATGACGATGAGATCAGGACCTATCCGCAAATCAGTGCCAGAGCTGATGGATGTACCTTTTTAACTGTCACCCACATCTGCAGTTCCCCTGCCACAATGTGGACAGTGACAGGAGGAGGAAGCAAGAGGAAAGGAGCAGAGCAGGACAATGTGACTGGCAAAGAGCAAGGTGAGACCTTCAGAGATGTCTCACACACAAATGAGTGCCTGTCCGAGGCCTGGCTGTTGTCTGAGATGCTAAACTGGGCCAGAGCCCCCAGAGCTCAGGTATGACCATTTAGACTAGCTAAACCCAGAAGAGCTCCCTGGCATGGCTAGGTACCAACCAGGACTTCAGGATGGAAAACACCTTGAAGCATCACCTCTGGACCAGGGATGCTCCTGCAAGGACATTCCCTTCCTTGGACCCTCCTGGCTGTGCTGGGAATTGCACATCCGAGGAAGATCAGGAGCTCTGGTCCTGCACATCTTCCCCCACCATTGCTGGTTATAGGAAACATCTCACTTCCAAGCATCAGAGCTGAAAGAGTTAAAAGCCTCTTTGCTTTCAGAGCAGAGGGGTCCTGATGTTTGCAGCAGAAAACAAAGGACAGGAAGAGATTCAAGCAAAACTTAAGCCACTTTCAGCTCAGTTAAAGCAACCGGTGTCTTTAGGAAGAGATCCTTTGGGGTTTCACCAGAGCCCCTTGTTTGTAGCGACTCCGGAAGTGGAGTCGAGCTGATGTGAACTCCTCATAGCCTGACAAAAAGAAGGGGCTGTTTCTCACCTAACACCTCTGCTTTGCTTTTGCCAAGGGTTGTGTTCCGTTTTGTTCTGTAATTCCTGGTGGGGGGGGAGGCCGGGAATTTGAAATGCCCCTTGGACCACTGAGTGATGCCTTTGTATGCGTGACGGTGCTCTAGGAGTGGGCTTATTGTTCAGTTCAGCCTGCCAGCAGCGTTCTGCTGTATCCTGGTTACCAGCAGACCCTTGGTTTTCTCAGGCCTCGCACAAGATGGTTTCTGTGTTTACCTGAGCAGCTTCTCTGTTCCATGAGAAATTTCCCCCTAAATTTCTGGATTACAGCTTTTCCATTCAATAAATCACAGCTCTTTGTATGTGCCTCGGCAGAGGCTCAGACTGCGGTTAGGGGGAGGAATGCAAAAGGGAGGTAGTATTCCCTTCTTCATCCACCACATAAATGTGTGCAAGGATGCACATGGATACTTGTCTGCCCCATCCCTCCATCCATCCATCCATCCATCCCTCCATCCATCCCTCCATCCATCCATCTCTCCATCCATCCATCCATCCATCATGTCATGGCAGAGGCATGAGGTTGCTCATGTGTCCCTGTCCTCAGTGAAACCCCCTTGTATTGTTTCCCCACCTCCTTGGCTGAGATTGAAATCCACCCACCCCGTATCACTTGCAAATACACTTAAACTGCCCGTGCTTGTCCCTTCGTGCCGTGCACGGTGTGGTTTGTAAGGGAATGGAGAAAAGGAAGCCTGGCTCAGCCGCACAGATCATAGAATCCCAGAGTGGTTTGTGTTGAAGGGAGCTTAAAGCTCCTCCAGTTCCAACCCCTGCCCCGGGCAGGGACACCTTCCACTAGAGCAGGTTGCTCCAAGCCCCTGTGTCCAACCTGCCCTTGAACACTGCCAGGGATGGGGCAGCCACAGCTTCTCTGGGCACCCTGTGCCAGCGCCTCAGCACCCTCACAGGGAAGAACTTCTTTATCTCCAACCTGAACTTCCCCTGTTTCAGATTGAACCCATCACCCCTTGTCCTGTCACTCCAGTCCCTGATGAAGGTCCCATCTCCAGCATCCTTGTAGCCCCCTTCAGACACGGGAAGCTTCTCTGAGGTCTCCAGCAGCTTCTCTTCTCCAGGCTCAACAGCCCCAATGTTCTCAGCCTGTCTCCATACGGGAGGTGCTGCAGCCCCTGAGCATCCTTGTGGCCTCCTCTGCACTTGCTCTAAATTCCTCATCCTCTCTGTGAACATCCCAATATTGCAGAATTTGGACATTTGAAGGCAAAATTGGGTCCCAAAAGGAGTTTATTTCCCAGGTTTGGGTGGTAAAAGCAGGAGCTCCTCACCATCTAACCACATTGGCATAAAGCGGGTTACACCTCCCGGCAACGTCCTTCTCCTCCCCATACAGGAGAGTGGCTACGGGCAGCCACCACCACCAGCACTGTACATTGCCCAATCCCCTCTCCTGTAAGGCTGGGTAAATATTGACTTTGCACTTTGCATTCACCAACTGTGGAGCTTTCTTCTCCTTCTGAGACGCGGGTGCAGAGCCCAAGATGAAGATTGAGTTTGCTCCCCTCTCCGTGCCACTGCGGAGGAGGCTTCAGACAGCATCGGTGGTTCAGTGGGTCTTCAGCTTCCTAGCTCTAGGTAAGAGAAATCTCCTTCTCCTCCTTTGAGGAGCCAGAATAGCTTTTACCTTAATCTCCTCTCCCCAGCCCCAGGTAGACATGGGTGCAAAGGTCTGGTACGGAAGGAAAGTGGCATTAAAGGCATCTTCTGGAGCCTGCAGTGAATCCCAGGACAAGAGATTAGCACAGACACTGCACTCACACATTGTTTCTGCCTCACTGTGTCAGAGCAGGGTGGGAGGCTTGTTCTCACTAATGTCGTTCTTCTTTTCCCCCTTTTCTGGGTGGTTTTGTTGTTTCTGAGCACAGCGGCACTAGGGAAGTACACGGCTTCCCATAGGAACACCTACGTGTCTTACACAGCAGCTAAACCCATGTAGTTCCAGCTTCTCCTGCTCTTTAAGTTCAGTTTTCCTGGTGTAAGGTGCTGCCCTGCTCAGGGTCAGTCCTCAGCAATGGCATTCCCATGCTTGAGGGTGGGACAATGGGAGGAGCGTGGAGGACTCTGCTTTCAACCCTGGGAACAGACACTTTGCTTTATACACATGTCCCCGCACACCCCAAAAAGGGAAAACTGGGACCCACACAGACTTCTGTGTGGTGCTAATAGAGAGGAGAGACAGGCAGGTTTGGACAGGATGCACTGGGAAATAAGGAGATGAGACACCCAGAGGTAGGTTATCAGAGTACCAACTGTCTGGGGCCATCCACAGCCCATCAGGAGCTGAGCTGGAAGGTCACATCCCAGAGTTTCCCATTGTCATGTAAATACTTAACTTCATCTGGGATCTGTGTAAAGCTGCTTCTTTACCTTGGCTGGATAGTTGTTGACTCTCCCAATACAGAGGCAGCAGATCTTTGTGTATGGGTCCAAACCAAATACCTGCAAAGAAGACACAGACCCTGCTTCAGAGCCTCCATAACTTTCTGAGATGGCTGCATCCAAAGTCTGCTACAAACTGAATGGCCACCTCTACACCAGTAACCGATGGACTGGAGCACTGGGCATGCTGGTCCAGGTGGTGGACCTCTTTGGATGGGTCTTGGCATAGGTTTAACCCATGCTAAGTAATGATCTTCCAAACTACCTATGATTCTATGATTCTACGTTGGCACAGTTTGGGCAATGGAAGAGGCTGGGGACCACTGCTGGAAGAGAATTAACAATAGTGCTGTTCACCCACTGGGTCAGCAAGATACAATCCCAGCCTGGTTTGGGTTGAAGGGACCTTAAAGCTCCTCCAGCTCCAACCCCTGCCCCGGGCAGGGACACCTTCCACTAGAGCAGGTTGCTCCAAGCCCCTGTGTCCAACCTGCCCTTGAACACTGCCAGGGATGGGGCAGCCACAGCTTCTCTGGGCACCCTGTGCCAGCGCCTCAGCACCCTCACGGGGAAGAGCTTCCTATGGCTCTGCCAAGTTGCTTTGGAGAGGTGTGACCCGTGTGTCCCCTTGGGGACAAGGTGGACAACATCCCTCTCTGGATGGGGAGGAAATCCCAGTGCTGCAGCAGCGATACAGCCAGCTGAGCCACTCCAAAGCACAGTTATGGCATTGGCAAAGAGCAGGGCACTTGGTGCCATCCTGGCCTTGCATTGTAAACCCTGGGGCTCTTCTAGTGCAGAAGAGATCCCTGCTGTGACCAACCATCCCCTGCCCTCCAGAGACCACCTTGCAGTAAGAGACACGGGTGCTGTCAACAGTGCAGGTGAGATCTGGCCCAAGCCACGCAGCCGTGGTTCCACCTCACCAGACTGGGACATTTTGGGGTGCTCTGGAGCTCCCTCTCTGCCCCTGCACCCAGATCTCCTTCCACGGTGCTTGGATTGGATGGGATGGGATGTGGTGGAGATGTGGCTGCAGTGTTAGCAAGGGAGGCAGCAGCACATCCCCATTACCAGCAGGGATGCAGCTGGGGCTTACAGAGCTTTAACAGTGTTTTCCAGTGAAACACCTTGGACATCAGGTTTTTCCCTTCTTGGTGTCGGGAACAAGCTGGCACTTGAGTTTTCAGTGATGGAAATGACTTCCGGAGCCAGCAGAAAGCCTGGAAATGCTCAGGAGGTAACATGGAGCTGCCTGAAACACAGGCTCTGTCTCCTGCAGGGAAATGCAGCTTGCTCTGAATGAGGATGAGACCCAGACCCACAGCTCCTCCGTGGCTGCACTTCCAGACGTTACTGTCTATCCCTGGAACAGCTTTACTTTGATTTTGGGTGTTTTTTGGTGATACTGGAACCAAAGCAGTTAAGACATGCTGTAAGAAAGGCATTAGAGATGTGATAACCAACCCTTACCGAGCGATTCCAGCTGCTTTGATGCATTTCACTAAATTTCTTTAAGCCTGGAGCTTTCCACCCAAAAGCTCCCAGTTTAACAACAGCAAAAGCTTCATCCTATGGGATACCCTTAATGTCATCCCATGAGCTGCCAAATCCCCCATGTTAAAACCCTCAGGCACAGAGATCAAACCTTCCATGGGCTGGATTTGGCCTCTGGCTTCTCCTTGATCCTGAGACAGGCTTGTGGCATCTGCTGCTAGAAAAGGGCTCCCGAAAACACACGTTTAAGCGGAGGCAGAGCTTAGCACAGCCCTTTGGCTGGGGATCCCTGCAGCACTGCTTGCAGGCTGCTGTTGCTATGGTTGTGCTAATGCAGCCCCCCGAGAAGCCAAGCAAGGGGCTCATTCATTGTCCACAGGGAACTGGGTGAATGGAGCAGCTTGACCCCGGTGCTGGCGGGGAGCAGCAGCTCACAACAGGCATTGTCCCTGTGGCTGGTTTCCTCCAGGATGCTCCTAGTAAAGAGCATGGAGGCTAAAGGAGACGTTTGCTTTAGATGCTGGCAGCTGATGGGAGGTGAATGCACAGTGCAAGGATGGGATGTAGGGCTTGACGTGGGGACCTCATTGCCTTCCCACTGCAGGACCTCAGTACTAACCAGTGCCCCCTCCTAATGCAGTGCAACCAGGCTTCTGGCACCTTCGAGGCTTCCAGGGCCTAAAGGGGCTCCAGGAAACCTGGAGAGGGGCTTTGGACAAGGGATGGAGGGACAGGACAAGGGGAATGGCTTGAACCTGCCAGAGGGGAGATTGAGATGAGCTCTGAGGCAGAAGCTCTTCCCTGGGAGGGTGCTGAGGCGCTGGCACAGGGTGCCCAGAGAAGCTGTGGCTGCCCCATCCCTGGCAGTGTTCAAGGCCAGGTTGGACACAGGGGCTTGGAGCAACCTGCTCTAGTGGAAGGTGTCCCTGCCCGGGGCAGGGGTTGGAGCTGGAGGAGCTTTAAGTTCCCTTCATCCCAAACCAGGCTGGATTCTATGACTCTGCAGGGCACTGAAATCAGCAGCGGGTGCCCAAACCTCCTGCACTTCCCACTGCCTCTCATCCCTGCTCTCTATGGACCTGGGGAAGAGCATCCATCCAGACACACCAAGCAGAAGCAGTAGTGTAGGGCTGGACCCATGCACACAAACCCAGCGCAGGGGCAGCAGACGTGTGCATGTGGCCTCTGCAGCTGCAGTGAACAGCACCAAGCCTTTGAACCCTTCCAATCAGCAGGGTTGGCTCAAAGGGCACATGGAGCCAGCGTGAGCCTCAGTCCCCCCCGAGAGCGGAGCATAGTCCATAGCTCAGGGCAGCTGAGCGGGCTGGCACTGAAGGGCTGGTACTGGGGACCTCAGCAATGTGCCTCTTGGGAACCCTCCTGACAACTGCAGTAAGAACCTAACTCACTCTGAGGCTCCTGCGACGCCAAAATAGCTCTTTCCATAGGCTGCTGTTTCCCTGTTTCAGGATGAATGAGCAACTGCTGGGTTAGCAGCAATGCTGGGCCCAGCAGCACTTGGATGAGACATGATCCCTGCTTGGATTTGGCCAGGGAAGTCTTCAGTGAAACTTGTAGCCTGTGGCTCACTTGGAGCTCGTGGCATATATGTAGAATCATAGGATCCCAAACTAGTTTGTGTTGAAGGGACCTTAAAGCTCCTCCAGCTCCAACCCCTGCCCCGGGCAGGGACACCTTCCACTAGAGCAGGTTGCTCCAAGCCCCTGTGTCCAACCTGGCCTTGAACACTTCCATGGCAGAGAGTTGGAACTAGATGATCTCAAGGTCCTTTCCAACCCAAACCATTCTCTGAGTCTATAATTCTATGATAACAGGGGCAGAAAAGTGGAAGTTGGACATTGTCCTGATGCTGTGACTGAACTGTAAAGGTTATTCTTCCTTCCTTTCCCCTCAGGAATACTGTAAAGGCAGTGAGGCAGAGCCATGTTATAACCACATCTCATGGCATTTGTGTGCCTAATGTCCTGATCCTCACCAGAAAGTTTGCTCCCAAGCCCAAACTGGGGTTGGAACTGAAGGATCTTTAAAAGCCCTTCCAACCCCAACCGTTCTCTGCTACCAGGCTGGAGGGTCTGTCTGGCTCTGCAGAGCCCTGGCAGCTGATGGCCTTCAAGAATGGGTTTGTACGGAATGACTTGCAGGTTTCTTCCATCCCCATCCTGACACAGGCTGTCGTCTCCTCCAGTGTCATTTCCGAGATCCAGCAGCACTTGTGGGCACACAGGCTGGGCTTTGCCCCCAGGAGGGAAACGTCTGCTGAGGTTCCCTGGCCAGGAGCCTAATGCTGTGCTCAAGATACCTCCTCAAGTGCTTGCCTGGCAGCCAGCCCAGAAGATGACAAGTTGCTTGCAGGAAAGCAGATGCTGCAGAACTGTGGCGCTCATCCAGGCAGCTCTGAATGGTCCCCAGCCAGGGGGGCACAGGAAAGAGACCCTCCTCATTCCTCATTCTCCTCTTGGGGTTACTCTCAAAGGGAAGAAAGCAGCGATCATGGGAACATAGAATCACACAATGGTTTGGGTTGGAGGGACCTTAAAGCTCCTCCAGCTCCAACCCCTGCCCCGGGCAGGGACACCTTCCACTAGAGCAGGTTGCTCCAAGCCCCTGTGTCCAACCTGGCCTTGAACACTGCCAGGGATGGGGCAGCCACAGCTTCTCTGGGCACCCTGTGCCAGCGCCTCAGCACCCTCACAGGGAAGAGCTTCTGCCTCAGATCCAACCTGAACTTCCCCTGTTTCAGTTTGAACCCATCACCCCTTGTCCTGTCACTCCAGTCCCTGATGAAGGTCCCTCTCCAGCATCCTTGTAGTGTTCTATAAGCACAGAAAGCAAAATAAAGTGAATATTGAGCAAAGGTCTCTGTGCGCAAATTCTGCCCTGAAATAAGACAAAAGTTGAATTGCAAATTGAGGGAGAAATGAATAATTCCATCATCACAAGGTAAAGCCTCACTTGGGTGACAAGTGCTTCACTCTGCAGAGTGCTCTTTGGGCTCTGCACGGTACCGTAAAGAGGGAATTGGGCATTGCCCACTCGTGCAGCAGAGCTGATGACCCGGCTCCATGTGCAATGAGACTGCAACCTCTGTGCTGTTCCTCAGGCAGAGCTCATGTGTTGTGTGGAGCCCGGAGCCTGGCTTCATGCTCTGTGCTATTTACTTCAAGAGTTGTAAGGATGGCGTCTATGGAATCTGAAAGGACTGGTGCCAGGTATGAGCAGTGGTTTGTTCTGACCCGGAGGTGCACTGGGGATTGGACCTGTTGCTCTGTTGCACTGATTCCCCGTGCACTTTATTGGTGCTGACCAAGGCAGTGTCTCTACCTAGATGAGGACATCAGATCCCACTTCAGCTTTAAGGAGATTTAAGGTTATGGGAAGAACTTAGAGCAGCTCCAGGGCCTAAAGGGGCTGCAGGAAACCTGGAGAGGGGCTTTGGACAAGGGATGGAGGGACAGGACAAGGGGAATGGCTTGAACCTGCCAGAGGGGAGACTGAGATGAGCTCTGAGGCAGAAGCTCTTCCCTGTGAGGGTGCTGAGGCGCTGGCACAGGGTGCCCAGAGAAGCTGTGGCTGCCCCATCCCTGGCAGTGTTCAAGGCCAGGTTGGACACAGGGGCTTGGAGCAACCTGCTCTAGTGGAAGGTGTCCCTGCCCGGGGCAGGGTGTTGGGACTGGATGAGCTTTAAGGTCTCTTCCACCCCAAACCACTCTGGGATTCTGTGATATGATCATGCCAGGGTTTTAGAAAGGGGCAGGGATTTATTTTTATATGCAGAGGTCTGGGATCAGGGGGACTTATCACAAAACCAAGGCTACAATCCAGACCTACTAATTTATCCCTAAGGAAACAGGAGGTACAAGGAGATCTTACATGAGAGCATCACAGACCTTTTCCCTGAGAGGCCTCAGCTGAGATGAGCTGGAGAGGGCAAGTGCCAGTTGCTCCCAAAGATGAAACCATGTCTCAGATAAGGGCATGGATGGATCCACATCTGCCCCACAGCTAAAGCTGAAGATGAACAAGGCATCCCCGTACTCATGTTCTTCAGCCCCGGCTGCTGGATCTGTGATGAAGACTCAGAGAAGATCATTGTATATAACCCACCACACATAATGTAACCCATGAGCTGGGGAAGGCAAAGGGCTTGGATCAGTGGGATATTTTAGCTCAGTTTCCCCCTTCCCAGACAGCACCAAGGTTTCCAGAGGAGCAGATGCAGAGGACGCAGCTCTTCCCATGCTCTCTTTAGGTCATTCACTTTACCAGGTAGGCAGTGGGTGGCCAGCAGCACTTCCCAGTCCCTGCAGCCTTGGGTGGGATTTGATGCACCAAGGGATTCCTGTTTGCACACGCTTTGCTTCTCTTGTTCCCATGCCAAAACAGGGCTGGAAGGAGATGGAAGGTAGAGGGAAAGCTGAGCACTGACTGGAATCAGCTCAGAAAAGTCTTTAATGACTTGGGAAGGTCCCAAGTCATTAATGTCTTAAGGAATGAAATGAAGCATTCTTCTAAAATCAGTGATGACACAGAGCTGAAAGGGCTGAAAACCCTCTAGAGGCCAGGATTAGAGCTGAGAATGAACCCAAGAAGTGGAGGAAAAGGTCCAAAATCAATAAGAAATAACTCAATAACGAGTAAAATCTTATCTATGGGCAGATAAAACATTAAAACTCAAGGACAGTTAAAACGGTGACTCATTAGCTCAGGATAAAGCTGTTGGGGACTGTACTGACAGGGCACAGTGCCCTGTTCTGCTGCCACCGCAAGGTGCCAAGTGTCATCAGAGAGTATTAACAAGAGGTTTGGGGTAAAACAGGGACATTGTCACTGCAGAGATCAGACTGAGTCCAGAGAAAAGCTCAGACCCACACAGACAATTGAGGATATTGTAGGGCAAGGGGGAAATGCTGGGATTGGAGAAACAGATGGTTACTGCAAGTGCTTGGTTCCTCTTGAGGGTACAGATAGGAAAGAAGCCATCTCTGCATGAAGGTGCCTTCACACTGATCAAGTGGTTTAGCAGCAAGCCCAGTGACGGGCTCCATCCCAGGACCAAGCAGAGTCCTTCCAAATACATCATTGGAGAGGGACTCTTCATCAGGGACTGGAGTGACAGGACAAGGGGTGATGGGTTCAAACTGAAACATGAGAAGTTCAAGTTGGATCTAATGCAGAAGCTGTTCCCTGTGAGGGTGCTGAGGCGCTGGCACAGGGTGCCCAGAGAAGCTGTGGCTGCCCCATCCCTGGCAGTGCTCAAGGCCAGGTTGGACACAGGGGCTTGGAGCAACCTGCTCCAGTGGAAGGTGTCCCTGCCCGGGGCAGGGGTTGGAACTGGAGGAGCTTTAAGGTCCCTTCAACCCAAACAAGTCTGGGATTCCATGATCATTCATCTCCCAAAGTCCATGTAACCCAACTGCCGCCTCACTACTGCCTTGTCTCTCAGCACAGTGCTGCACAGCTGCCTTCATCGCCCTCTTCTTCACCCGTTTTTGGCTGCTCTGTGTCCTCTATGCCGTGTGGTGGTTCAAAGACAGGGATAAACCCAGCAAAGGTGGGAGGCGGATCCATGCCGTCCGGAACAGCATCGTCTGGAGGTACATGAGGGACTATTTCCCCATCACGGTAAGTGCCACTGATTCCATAAGATCTGATTCCATAAGGACCATCTTTGTCCTTGGTGTTTGGAAGCAGCCTGGAGCCAGGACTTGTGGCATGGGGTCCTGGGAGGTCAGGGTTGAAGATCATCTATCCATCATTTTCTATCTGTTATCTGAAGGGGGCTACAAGGATGCAGCAGAGGGACTCTTCTTCAGGGACTGGAGTGACAGGACAAGGGGTGATGGGTTCAAACTGAAACAGGGGAAGATCAGGTTAGATCTAAAGCAGAAGTTCTTCCCTCTGAGGGTGCTGAGGCGCTGGCACAGGGTGCCCAGAGAAGCTGTGGCTGCCCCATCCCTGTGAATGCTCCAACCCTGGAGGTGTTCAAGGCCAGGGTGGACAGAGCCTTGGGTGACCCGGTCTGGTGTGAGATGTCCCTGCCCATGGCAGGGGGATGGAACTGGATGATGGATGACCTTAAGGTCCTTTCCAACCCAAACTATTCTATGATTCTATGACTCTATCATCTTCCCCCCTCCCAGATTACTGCAAGACCTCGTAAAAAAGTAGACCACCATTTCCACAATCAAATCCTTTAACTGTCTGCCATTGAGTTTCTTTGCTCAAAGGCACGGCAGAAAGCGATGCTGAGGACCTGCAGTGGGTTATTTCATGGTAAACCTCTCAGCTTAACTTTAAATGTGACTTGAGGAAGGGCTGAGGGACCTGGGGGGTTTAGTGTGGAGAAGAGAAGGCTCAGGGGGGACCTGATCGCTCTCTGCAAGTGCCTGACAGGAGGGGGCTGGTCTGTGCTCCCAAGGAACAAGGGATGGCACAAGAGGAACCGGCCTCAAGCTGCCCCAGGGCAGGTTTAGCTGGAGCTGAGGAAAAATTCATTGCCCAGAGGGTGCTCAGGCATTGGAACAGGCTGCCCAGGGCAGGGCTGGAGTCACCGTCCCTGCAAGTGTTCACAGCCCGTGGAGCCGAGGCCTCAGTGCCAGGGGTTAGTGGTGGCCTTGGCAGGGCTGGGATAAAGGTTGGACTGGATGAGCTTAAAGGGCTTTTCCAACCTGGTTGATTCTGTGATTCTATGATTCTGTGATTTAAAGGCTTCTTAAAGCAAGCTTCAAAGCAAAGCCCCCAAAACGTGTATCATAATCCTGTGTGGAGGATTGGGAACACATCCCAGGAAACCTTGTGGGGACTTTTACTAGAAGGGGCAGGTTATATTTCCTGACATTCAATAGGAAACACAAATGGGTTCCTAACAAACCATTCTCAAGTTTGCCTTAGAAGATGCTAGAATCCCGTGAGCTCTTCATGTGGCTGCAATGATTACATGCAATATATACCCTGTACGTTGTCTGTGGCCATAAGGTGCTGCTTGGGCAGTGTCCAACCAACCTCTCTGCTAAACCTTGGCTGCCAGCTCAGCCCAGCGACAGTTCTTCTCCCATCCCTTTGAGAGGACATGGAAACCCCTCCTGAAGCCCAGGGTGCAGCGTGTGTGTGCCCTTCCCTTCCTGGCTGCAGGACCCTAAGACCGGTAAGACCTTCACCAGTAAGACCAGTAGAGGGAGTGTGGCTACTGGGTTTGAAGGCTGGGAAGGTTCCCTGCAGCTTTCCCCATGGCTGGTGTGGGAGAAGTCAGAGAAGCCTTCACAAAAGGACATCAGAAACCTGAACTATCATGAAAAGAGTATTATAACCAAGCTGTCACCTCATATTCTTTCCCACAGACATTTGCTCAGTCTTCCATGCTTTCTAAGACGGAATATAGGATTTAGCAGCCCTTTCTGAATGCATTTGCTCCTATAGCATGGAAAAACATTTGGCATCCTCAGCATCCTGAAGCACGGAGTTCCCCAGGTGAACCACACAGGGTGAAGACCTCCCTGCTCCCTGCTCGTGTCACTAGGAACTCTCTGGTTAGCCCATGCGAATCCTGCCCCACATCCCCAGAGCATTCCTGGTTTTATTCTCTGTTATATCCCCCATCTGCCAGCTTTTTTCCCTAATAAAACCCCACTTTAAGTTCATAAAATCTCAGAGTGGTTTGGGTTGCAAAGAACCTTAAAGCTCCTCCAGCTCCAACCCCTGCCCAGGGCCGGGACACCTTCCACTAGAGCAGGTTGCTCCAAGCCCCTGTGTCCAACCTGGCCTTGAACACTGCCAGGGATGGGGCAGCCACAGCTTCTCTGGGCACCCTGTGCCAGCACCTCAGCACCCTCACAGGGAAGAGCTTCTGCCTCAGAGCTCATCTCAGTCTCCCCTCGGGCAGGTTCAAGCCATTCCCCTTGGCCTGTCCCTACATCCCTTGTCCAAAGCCCCTCTCCAGGTCTCCTGGAGCCCCTTTAGGCCCTGGAGCTGCTCTAAGGTGTCCCCTTCAGGAGCCTTCTCTTCTCCAGCTGAACAACCCCACTTCCCAAAGCCCCAGCCAGCACAGGGCACAAGGGGAGTGGGATCTGGGGCCATGGACCCAGGTGGGCACCTACCTCCCTGGGCTGTATTTTGTGTGTAGATTGAGTTTGTTCAGCCCTGGAGAATCAGCCATTCAGGGAAGACTAAACGTGTCTCCTGATGCTCCAGATCCCAGCAGCAAACTCAGCCTGGTCAAGCACCAGTGACTGAAAGCAGGAATTGCTGCCTGCTCGCTTACTTTAGGAAGTGGCTTTAAATGCTGCCTGTAAGGGATCCCTGGGCGTGTTTGCTCTTATGGAAGCAAAGAGATGTTGGGATGAGCATCCTTCTTCCAGGGATGCGTTCGGTGTGAATTAGCACATTGCTGCAGCGTCTGGCCCATGGGATGGTGCCGGCTCTGAGCACAGGACGTGTGAGGAGCACCCTCTGCTGATAACAGCCTTGCACAAGTACCTCTTTGCTGCTTGGCTTGTGCCCCGTAGGATGGTTGGCTTTTCATTAGGGGTTTGGGAGCTAAAAGGTCAGGAAAGACCTGAGTAAGTTTGAGTGGTTTTAAAAGGGGGATGAGAAAAGAGCAGTGAGATCCCAGGTTAAGCCCAGTGCATTGCCTGGGAAGGTTATTTCTGCTTCATCCCCCTGGATGCTTCACAGAATCCCAGACTGGTTTGGGTTGGAAGGGACCTTAAAGCTCCTCCAGTTCCAACCCCCTTATGTCCATTCACACAGTTCCTTCATGATGATTTATCAGCACATCTTTCTTAGGAAGCAGACACCCAACATTACTGTAAAAACAAGCTTCTCTGTCTCGTGGCCATGAGAATGCACAACTTCACCACTCCTTCCCATCCCCTCCCGTAAGACTTACTGGCACCAGCCTCCCTCAGACAGCCAACGTGCTCTGCTAACCTCTGCAGCACCACGGATGTGCAGAAGGTGAGGACAGGGGTAACATAGGAAAAGCATAAGCTTGACAAGATCCATCTCTACTGTGGTCCTCAGGCAGAAGTCACCATCCTTTGCAGGTCGAAGGAGGGGATCCTGTCCCTCTACTCTACTCTCATGGGACCCCACCTGCAGCACTGGTGCAGTTCTGGGGTCCTCAGCATCAGAAGGACATGGAGCTGTTGGAGCAAGGCCAGAGGAGACCACGAGGATGATCAGGGGCTGGAGCAGCTCCCGTATGGAGACAGGCTGAGAACACTGGGGCTGCTGAGCCTGGAGAAGAGAAGCTGCTGGAGACCTCAGAGCAGCTTCAGTGTCTGAAGGGGGCTACAAGGATGCTGGGGAGGGACCTTCATCAGGGACTGGAGTGACAGGACAAGGGGTGATGGGTTCAAACTGAAACAGGGGAA